AAAAAAAAACCAGAAAACAAAACACATCACCTTTCTCAGAAGCTCTGGAGCCAGTATTTCCTTTTGTTCCAGTAGCCAGATGGCAGTCTCCTTTTCTGTTACTGGTTAAGAAAGTGAGATTGGCCTGTGGATTTTGACTCATTTAGACTTACCCCTAAGCTGAAGATGGCTGTACTTTCCTGAAGGTTGGTGTCTGAACAACATTTCAGCTCTTATCATACTGTGCCAAGCAATAAGGAAACAAAACAAAACAAAACAAAACAAAACAAAACAAGGATGCAGAGCTGGTTCTGGCCTTAAACTTCAAGCTGATACTCCAGGCACTTCTTAGCTTCAGATTTTATCACCTTGCTTCCTAGGTGCAGTCTGCAGAGTGTGTACAGCACTCAGAGGCTGTCCAGCTGTGCATTCAGAGAGCATCTGGAACATGGTGTTTAGTTAGGAAGTTTACAGACTTAGACCTGTGAAACTGCTTTGTTCTCTAGTCCTTGGCTAGGGAACCTCAGGAGTTGGTTCAGGACATCCTACGACCAAGTTCCAAGTGCAAAGGAGATTTATTTGTTCCAGAGAGACAGAAGGCAGGGACAAGGGAGGGGATAGAAGAGGGAGAAGGGGAAGGGAACAACTGAGAGGGGAGAAAAGGCGTGAGGGAGAGGAGGAAAGGGCTATTTGTTCAGTTGGGGTGGGCAAGACAAAGGATTGTCTCTGGATAGAGAGAAGACAGAAGCAGCCCATAGGTAAATGGCAACTTATAAAGGTAAAGGGGGGAAGTCCATGTTAGGATGAGGTATTTATTTAATTGGGCATGTTCATTAGGTGAGCCAAAGGGGGCTTTTGATTGCTGGACTTGGTAGCTGGACCTTGATAATCAGCCCCAGAAGGAGGAAGAGGCCGAATAAAGGAATAGACCTTGGGGGCTAGCTTTAGGAATGTAATCTAACAGTAAAAAAAAAAAACTAAAAAGTAAGACACAGGGAACGGGGAGAAGGGCATGACATACCCGAGACACGTTTGCCAGGCTTCAGCTGGCCACAGTCCCTTCACCACGACCCCAAACAACACCTTCACCCCAGAAAAACAAGTGAGCTCCAGTGATCTCTGTGATAGTGGGATGAATATAGGTAAATTAATGTGATCCATAACTTGGGGGAAGGGATGGAAATCAGCCCTTCCAGACCCAAACAAGTTGACTATAGAGGAAACCGATAGAGGAATTATTCAGTTCTAATATTTCAGAAGTCAAATACACTGGGCACTAATATTCAACTCACCAAATGTTTAAAAAGCAGGCTTTATTTATATTTATTCATGTTGAATTTAATTTCATTTAATAGGTAATACATTCCAAATGTTCGAACGTCAGGGAAATCTTACCTCTGCTCCCTCCTTCTCTCTCTTCTACCCACTCCCTTCTGCCTCTAGCATGTAATCATCTTTTAGTTCCTGTTTTCCTTGTTCTCTGTTCTCTCTCTCTCTCTCTCTCTCTCTCTCTCTCTCTCTCTCTCTCTCACACACACACACACACACACACACACACACACACACACACACACACACACAAAGGTAAGCAAATGTATACAGATGCATGTAGATGTTTTCACATACACATACACACCCATGCACACCCATGCACACCCACACACACCCACAGCTATTTCTCAAGTTGTATGTACATATGTAGATGTTTCCTGAGGTCTGTGTACATATGTAGATGCTTTCTAAGGTCTATGTATAGACGTAGCTGTTTCCCAAAGTCTGTGTATATATGCAAGTGTTTCCCAAGGTTTGTGAATATGTGTAGCTGTTTCCCAAGGTCTATGTCTATATGCAGATGTTCTCATAGTCTATATACATATGTAGCTGTTATCCAAGGTCTATTTATGTATGCCGATGCTTCATTCTCCTTTTCTTACTCAAGGAAAATACTTTGCATGTTGTATTCAATCATATATTCCAAGTGTCTATCCACAACAATCAACTAAGGGTTTGGTTTCCCTCCTTCATTTCTTTTTTTCCCCCTTATTTTGAGATAGACTTCATGTAGCCCAGGATGGATGGAAATTCATTATGTAGATGAGGCTTTCCTTGAATTACTTGATTCTCCTGCCTCCACCTGCTAAGTGCTGGGATTATCAGCATATCCTACCGTATGTAGGCCTTCCTTCTCTGAAGAGGAATAATATGACTGAGGAATACCCCACACTACCTCATCCACCACCCATCATTAACCAAAGCTCCTTTGCAAGACTTCTGGGAGTTTCCAGATTTTTACTATTGTAAACAGTGCCACAATGTCTAGACCATGGGCTATGCAATTGCACTGGGAAATAAAGGAGCCACAGCTTTTAGTGCTGAGGTCCCTGAAATAATCTGTGGCCTGGTTGCACTGCAGCTGCTTTGCCAGTGAACTAGATTCCTCGAAGTGGCATTAAAGGGTCAAAAGAAAGAAGCCATCAGAAATACTTTTAGGCACCAGTAAGCTCTTCTCCACATGTACTTTTCTTGCTATCAATAGAACAGAGTATGTTTGCTGTTAGTCTGATATCTGTTGCTTTGATTTAACATCTTAGGGCTTGGGGTATAATTATTATCATTGAAAAGGAGAGCTATTTTTCTTATAATTTTTATATTTCTATGTTTGTTTTATATGTGGTGTGTATATATATGTATGTCCCCCTGCTCTGTGTGTGTGTGTGTGCACATGTACATATAAGCCAAATATTGAAAGTTGGGTGTCTTCCCAGATTGTTCCCACATTATTTACTGGGGCAGGATGTCACCGAACTCAGATTTGCTGATTTGTCTGGTCTATCTAGCCAGCTTGCCCTGGGGGTTCCCTGTCTTTACCTTTCCAGGCCATCTCATCTACCTATGATTTATGCTGGTGTTTGGGATGTGAATGCCACCCCTCAACCTTGCATAGTGAGCACTTTATCCAATGAACTATTTGTTTAGCCCCCTTTCTGTATTTGTCTTTCATCCACCCAGGTTGTCTACGTGCTGCTGAGTCAGTGGTGATGAGCATGTGGTGTCGGTCCTCACACTAGTGGGCACATCTTTGGCATGTTCTTTTTTTACTACTGTTCTGGCTTTTGAGTTAGGATGTGTTTTCTATAGGTTGCAAAAGTGTTCACCAGTCCCTAATTTACTGATAGTTTTGTTGTTTGTTTGTTTGTTTTCTGTGTAATAGCAAATGAGCTTTTAATCAAGTGCATTTCAGAATATCATTCTCTTCTATCTTTTAGTGATAATGTGATGAATTTTGTATTCTATTTTCTAATAATGAAACAGATTACTACATTAGGTGTGATCTATGTTAAGTCATGGATGCAGATTCTACTGCTCAAAAAAATGAGCCAGCCTGGGGGCTTCTTAGACTCTTTGCCTTCTGTCTTGCAGTTACTACGGCCTGACAGTGTGGTTCCCTGACATGATTCGGTATTTCCAGGATGCAGAATATAAGTCTAAAATGAAGGTGTTTTTTGGTGAACATGTTCATGGTGCCACCATCAACTTCACCATGGAAAACCAGATCCACCAACATGGGAAGCTTGTGAATGATAAGTAAGTGCATAACCATGGGCTTTCCTTGGGCCTGAGTGTCAGTCACTGGGGGGTTACTTTGAAAGATGCTGAGAGGTCAATGTACTAAGGATGAGTTCCAAGGGTATAGTGGCCTTCACAACCCATCCTGGCTGCTAGAGATACTATAGTCCCCTGATGGCTGAATCTGTATTGCACTGACCCCTCAGGTTCTCCTCATGCTCTGACTATGAGATGACATGACATTTGGTGGAGGGTGACTATCTTAGTTAGGGTTTTACTGCTGTGAACAAACACCATGACCAAGGGAAATCTTATAAAGGACAACATTTAATTGAGGCTGGCTTACAGGTTTAGAGGTTCAGTTTAGAATCATCAAGGCAGGAACATGGCAGCATCCAGGTAGGCATGGTGCAGGAGGAGCTGAGAATTCTACATCTTCATCTGAAGGCTGCTAGCAGAATACTGACTTCCAGGCACCTAGGTCTAGGATATTAAAGCCCACACCCATAATGACACATGTACTTCAACAAAGCCACACCGACTCTAACAAGGCCACACCTCCAAATAGTGTTACTCCCTGGGCCAAGCAAATACAAACCATCACAGTGATCAGTATGCCCATCTTTTATCAGAGCTTGATCCTTTGATGAAATGGAACAGAAAGCCACATTCCATCAGGTGCCACCAGGCTGAACATGTCCTCCTTTGAGCTTGAACTGTGCTTAGGAAGCACCTAGAGCATGGCTGACAACCGTGTGAGTGATCACGGCTTTGCCATTGCACCGGGAAATAAAGAATCCACAGCTTTTAGTGCTGAGGACTCTGAAAAAAGAAATCTGTGGCCTGGTTGTTGAGTTTTTTCTTCGATTCTGGAAGTTTCTCTGTGCTATTATGGAACTACCTCTTGTTATACTCCTCCATATCATACTACCGCAGAAGGTAGAGCAGTATGTTCTGCGATCAGTGGGAGTCTTGTCCTTAGGGGAGAAATCAGTGGATTTATAGAAAGGTTCTGCTTACATCTTTGCGGGATTGCTTTCTCAATCCATTTGACTTATCTCCCTCCTTGTTGGACAAATGACACGGGTAGTTTGGACTGCTGAATTCCCTCTATGAGGCTGCCCCCTTGAGGTGGAGTAGTAGATAGAGGCAGGACATTAGATAAGATATGCCCCAGGCCATATTGTTCATCAAGGTGAGCAAGGGCCCCTTGAAGTTGCCATCTGGAACCTCACCTAGTAAGGTGATGTGTGAATGACCAAAGAACTTTTTGGGATTTCTAGAGATGCTATGGCCTAGACACATCGCTGCCAATCCCGTTAACTTCCCTATCCACTACATTATCACAAAAGTGGCACTGCCCCTCTGAAGCCTATTGAATTTAAAATGTATCTGTCTTCATGGACAAATTTGAAAAATATGCCATGCTTGTCTTCTTGTGTTATGCTGCCACCTGGTGGTCAGAGCGTAACAATACCTTTTCTTTCAAAGCCCCAAGCTGTTGGTTCCCAGCATCCTTTGCACCCTATGTTTCCACCCTGTGACAACATGCACACATTCCTGCTTTAAGATGTAGATAAAAGTGATTTTTTTTTTTATTTTACTGACTAAAACACATGGAGAAAATGACTCTGAGGGGCCTCAGACGTCATCCTTGTATTGTCAGTCCCGTTGAAAGCCAATTCGTATCCTTCTGAGAAACCTATTCCCTTGACCTCAAGAAGAAATCAAAGAGCACAGATCAGTTTTGGCCTCACCCCAAGGGATCAGTCACTGGAGCATTTTATGGGAAGTGGTGCCTCTGCATTCCAATGTAGAGTTTGCCTCAGAGTTCGTGAGATTTTCAAAGTGTAAGAAAGACAAAGAGTTAAATTAATATTTTGTACTCTTAGCCAAAATGCTAGGTTAAGTTTCCCTTACTAGTGATTAAGAGAAAGACTGTGGTCCCATCTGAGTATGTATTAACTAAGTAGCTAACTAACTGATGTACCTACTTCAAGGAGCCAATCATTTGGCAGCACCAGCTCGTGAGTGGGTTAGCCTGAGGAAGGATACCAGGGAGAGGTGCCCGATTCCTGTCTGGGAAAGTTCAGGACCCTGGAAGTAATGACCTGAATTCCATTTTTCCTTTACAGCAGAGGAAAGTTGAGGCTGTGTTCTGAACCCTCGGGGTTGTATCAGCAGTGGTACTGCGTCTCCATTCGCAGAGGTGACTTGCCAGCGAGGAGTAGAAAGGCTTTTTATTAAAAGTCATATAAAGTCAACAGGACTTCCATTAAAGGTCAGCTGCCAGTAGCTCAGAGTGCAAATGAGGCTTGTGAGATTTACCTTTAAATGAGGTTTAGAGCATGGCAGGAAGCACGGAGAGCAGGGGGGAAGGGAGAATCAGGCAATGAGCAGAGGCGGATTCCGTGCACGGCCGGAAAGGTCACCACGCCACCAGGGCACTTTTTAGTAGCACATGAATAAAACGTGGTTTTTTAACACCAATTGTGGCTAATTCCAATACAGTAAAGTCCCTCACAAATACCAACAGAAGGTGGTGAGCATAGGCAATTGCTGGAATACCCTGGGCTGTCCAGTCTCACAGCCTACATTTGAAGGTTGCAGTTCAGATATGGGACACATATTAGCTTATGTGGTAAAATTTCTCAGTACCATTTTTCGCTTTATGTGTGGGCCATGTGTACATTCTTGATAATCTTTCTGAGCACTTTGTGGTTTTGCTGGGCACTGAACATGGATTTCTTTCTTTCAATAAAAGATTTGAACACATTATTACAAATACTTAAGAACTCTATTGATTATTGGAGGCTTCCTTTGCACCTAATTGAGCTCCTAAGAGTTTTCTTCATTATTGGTTCTATAATCCTATCTATCACCTATGAAGAACGATTGCTTTCTTTTTTATGGTGAAATATTCTGCACTTTGAGAGACTAGGGAATAATACAGACACCACTATTTAGAGTACACAGCCTTATAAACCACAACCTCTAGGTCATTAGCTTAGGTTGTAAGTACTCACTTTGTTAACCCTTTTTCCTTCTGGAGAAGAGAAGCTGCCTGAAGTTGATCCCAGCACCCCGCACACACAAAGCATGTAGTTTACCATAGAACAGTTCTTGACCTGTGAGTCACAACCCCTTTGGGGTCACATATCAGATACCCTACACATCAGGTATTTATGTTTTGATTCAGAACAATAGCAAAGTGAGAGTTATCCTGGCATGACTGGGGGTTAGCACATGAAGAACTATATTAAAGGGTCTCGGCGTTAGGAAGATTGAGAGTGACCGTCCTCAGCTACGTTCTTCCGTCCTTGAGTTGTATTCCCACCTCTCTGAGGAAATGTTCACCATTGTCAGAAGTTGGTGCTTTCTCTTCGTGTATGCTTCTGTGCATTTCCCAGTGTCCTTCTATGTCTGTAAGCATTGCACAATTGTCTTCTGTGTGTGTCAGCTAAATGTATAATATATGTTAATTGTTATTGCTATTGGTTTTCTGAGGCAGGGCCTTATGTAGGTCAAGCTGATTTCAAACTTGCCGTGTAGCTGACAGTATCCTTGAATCCTGATCTTCCTGCTCCCACCTCCCGCTAGGATTACAACTGTGTGCTTCCATTCCTCGCTTTGCACATGCCAAGGGGTCTACAACTTGTTTTTTTTTTTTTTTTTGTTTAGGATAAAGCTCTTTTTAATTTCACTCATTCTGTGACAGTTTTCACAAATGTATAAATAGATTCAAGGCACACTCATCTCCCTCCATCCCTTACCCCTCTGATTCCCACCAACAGCCCTTCCCCCACCAAGTCCCTATTCTATTTTTGATTTTGTTTTCGCATTGCAACTCACTGGGTTTAACCCGGGCATGTGCACAAAGCTGTCCATGGGAGTACGTTCACTCACAGAGGCCACATCACTAAGGACAATGACTTCCTGTCACCGACAGCCATC